TCCTCCTCCTCCTCCTCCTCCTCCTCCTCCGCTTCCTTCTTCTTTAGTACAGGTTCTACAGAATCTCACTATGTAGATCGGACTTGTAGTGATCCTCCTGTTTTCAGCTTCCCAAACTGGGATTACATACACATGCCACCACGCCCAATGTCAATCGCCATCTCAGTATGGCCTGGGCTTGGGGCTGGCACAGCACACCTGAGATCGAACCCTGGTTGCTGTGCCTGCCTAAGCAGGTGCTTTAGTCTGCTGAGCAATCTGGCCAGCCCTCTTTTTCCTTTTTCTCTCCTCTTACTTTCTTACAATTTTTTTCTTTTTTTTTCTTCCAATTTTGCATGCACATATCTGATAATAGGAACAATTAATTTGAAGACAACACTATGTAATACCATATATACTGTGAAATTCATATTATTTTGCTTAATGAAATTCCGTATCATTTTTAATTTTTCTATTTTAATACTACTTTGTACTCTCTTCAAAAACTAAACAAAAAAAAATTAAAAATTCAGTTCCTTAAAAACACATTACCATTCAAATAGCAACACTTCAAGTCCTAAAAAATAAATGCTTGAGTGTCATAAACACTATATTTTTACATCACTACAGGCTAATTTCAAAGTTTTTTTTTACATATAGTTGATACAGGGAGAAGATAGCGTCTAAATTGTTACTAAGAATATTGTTTTGTATTCTCATGTAAAAGCACCAATGGCATTTCAAATATTAAAATATAGTAGTTTACAGGGGGTGGGGAGAGAGCTCAGTAGAATAAGCACCTGTCTGGCAAGCGCAGGGTCCTGAGTTCAATCCCTGATACTGCAAAATAAATAAATAAATAAATAAATAAATAAATAAATAAATAAATAAATAAATAAAGTTTATAAAATTGTTTTCCTTTCACAGGTGGAACTCCAGCCTCAGTATGAGGAGAGTCTGTATATGTACCTCTATTTTGTTATTTTCATCATCTTTGGGTCCTTCTTCACCTTGAATCTGTTTATTGGTGTCATCATAGATAACTTCAACCAGCAAAAAAAGAAGATAAGTATTTCTAATATTTTCTCTTCCACAGAAAGAGAAAAATCTAATACATCCAGTGTTTTCTCTATCAAGTGAACATTTAAATTAGAAAAGCAAATAAGAGCATACGTGAAAGACCACCCAATCCCGCCTTTCTTGATTACTGATCTCTAGGGATTATGGAAAGCTTTATACTTTTGTGAGTAGGGTCACAAGATTCACTGCCTCATTTCACTTTTTTTTTCACTTTTAGAGAAAAAATAAAACATTGCCTGCAATCTGAGAGAAAGTGTTTATAAAAGAACTAGAAAATAGTATCCGTGTGCACGCTGTTGCCTTCTCGCAAGTTTTATCCTTACAAACTCCCATCATCCCTTCCAATACACTTGCATCTAAAAGGTTACTAGAGTTTAGAAGAATGAATAAAGAGAGGGAAGGAGTCTGGATTTCATCAACATACTAAGTGCTTCTACGTTGGTCCCCATTAATATGTACAATCACTACATTATAGTAAAAATTAAAGTCAGCATATTTTCAATAAATTAGAATCAGACATAAGCATTTCTGTTGTATATCTTCTTATACATTTCCTTCATTGATTCCTTCTATAATTTCCCTTTTAGTGCACATATTTAATTATAATCAATCAATTCCAATTTTAAATACAATAAATCATCATTATCATTTTTCAGACTCATTATAGTGTTTTTTTGTTTTGGTTTGGTTTGGTTTGGTTTTTTTGTCAGAATCAGGGATTGAACTTAGCCCCTTGCACTTGCCAGGCAAGTACTTATTCTGCAGTATGATTTTTTTTTTCCAGAACCGGGGATTGAACTCAGGCCCTTGAGCTTGCCAAGAAGCACTTATTCTATTGAGCCATCTCCCTGGCCCCACAAGTACTTATTCTACTGAGCTCTCTCTCTGGCCCCTCATTTTAGTGTTTTTTAAATGTACATTATTGAAAGCATGAAAAGCAAACAAATATTACCACTTGAGAATACTCATTATTCACATTTTATTAGTCTTCTGTTCAAACTGGTACTATGGATCTTCTCCTAGTAGAAATTATTTTATATAAGATTCTTTTTGATATAAATATTTTCCATTTTTAAGTCTCTCTATATACTTTATATTCACATAAACATTCCATAACAAATTGGTAATTTATGATGCTTCCAATCTTTGATGATTCAAATAGAATCTTGTTAAAAAAAATATTTTGAAATATTTTTTTCCTTAAGTTAAATTCTCAGAGTGAAGTATTTTGGACCCTCAAAATAATGAACGACTTAAAATTCAATAACTATGTATGGATATGGTCACAGAATCCCTGCCCCACTGATATCAAACATTCTCTTTATTTTTAAATAGTTGTTATTGGAAGATGAAAATTGTATTTAATTTTTATTTTTATGTCTTATTACTAATGAAGTTGAACATCTTTTTAAATGTTTTTCAGCCATAAGTGTTTCTTCCTTTTTTGTGCTCATCTTTCATCTAATTTGCTCCATATATTTTCTTATGATATAATGAGAGCTTCTTTTCACTATAAAATAACCTTGCCCTTAATAGTAGAAGTATTCTTATGCGTAGTAGTATTCTGTGGTCAGTATCAAACTACTCTGTTTCCCTTATTAGCCTGTGTTCCAGACCTCTCTACCCACAGTCCTGTCCTAGGCTTGTCGTGTTTATGATCTCTGGCTCATTGTCTCTCAACTCTTCTACCAATTCCTCCAATTTTCCTTCCATCTCTGCATCAATATTGATAGAGTTAAAGTGGCTTTTGCTAATTCCAATCTTGTAGTGTCCATAGCTTTAACTCTTTGCTATATTTGAATGAGAAAGTCATTGTATTTAACCTACAAAGGTATTATGTGTAATGTAAAGATTTGAATATTTAGTGTCAATAAGCCTGATTGTAAATAATAATCATAATCATAATCATAAGCCTGATTGTGACTTACTGAATATATGTTTTTGGTTAACCTCTTACAGTTTCTAGGCTTTTTGTTGATGTAATAATAATTAAATTTTGAACAATTATGAGAATTAAATAAGATTATGGTATTTATGAAGTGCTTTTAATTTTTCAAGTGTAAAATTTTAAGCATAATCATGCCAAATTGTTAAATTTTACATTTCTTTTTCAAATCATTCCTTTCCTTTTCAACATTTAAAAAGTTCACAAATGGACATAGTTTTAACCAGTTGTGATTTTTCTTTCCTATACTTTGGAGGTCAAGACATCTTTATGACAGAAGAACAGAAGAAATACTATAACGCAATGAAAAAATTGGGATCAAAAAAGCCACAAAAGCCTATACCTCGACCAGGAGTAAGAAATATCCAATAATATGGAAACAAAATATGGAAAATTAAAAACTTGCATGACTTTTCTCACAGAAGATACATCAGCTAGAATTTCCAGTAGCAAAAATTATTTTGCTTTTAGAGCATCATCACATCATATTTTGATGATTATGGCAAATTTGATTTAAAGGCCAAAAAGAAATAGAAAATGGACTTTGGTTTTCAAAAGACTTAGAACCACACAAATAGAATCTAAACTAAATGGTCAAGGACATACAGGCAAAGTGATACACGCAAGAAAGAACTGAATGATCCATCTCCAGAGTAGTTGCCAAGTATTCTCAGGAAGATAAACCTTTGCATAGAGCTAAAGCAAATGTGGGTTTTACTAGATTACTAAATTGCTGGAACATTAAGTGAAATAACATCTTTAGTTTTACATTCTTACTACTGAGCATTTTGAAGGAAAAAAGAATTGTGGGATCTACATTCATATGTATGGCTGCAAAGTTGGAAATTACTAATATCTGTAGAAGTCAGGGTCAAGAATTAGAATTCAGGATGAGACGTAACAATTCTCAAGTTTCTGCTATGAACCAATAAGCTGTGTAAAGTGGAGAGAAATTACCCGTACGGATAGTGTTTATGGTGATTGTTTTTGAAATTTAAATAATTCAAGATGTGCCAGAGAACAAAATTTAAGTAACCATCCATTTCATGCTAGCCAAATCTCGCCTTCTTGAGAATGAGGCCCATATCTTTTCCTTTATTGAGACTTAGCAATGGAAGCAAAGATATGCAGGAAAAATAAAAGACACTAAATATCTTTTCAGTGGAAATACTATGTGTAGGAAAAATATAGATAGTAAATATCTTTGTAATTCCTCAGTCGCATAAGGAAATAAGCAGACGATAGCTCACAGGGCCAGAACTAGGGCAGAGAGCCACAGGTCAGTGATGGAACATGTAAACTTTTCGCATCAAAATAAGGAATGTCATTCTGGCCCGAGTAGCCCCTTCGAGGCTCAGCATTTCGATTATGACACCATCTACGAAGGCTCTTGGTGCTAAACTATCAGTATAGCCATATGTATATTTACATGTGGCTAGGAAATTTCCAGACAAATTACATGTTCATATTTACTGTAGGGAGATGGCTCAGTAGAATACGTGCTTGCCTGGCAAGTGCAAGGGCCTGAGTTCGATCCCTGGTTTTGCAAAAAAAAAGAAAAGAAAAAAAAAGCCATAATATTTACTGTATCTAGGGGCTGGTGAAATGGCTCAGTGGTCTAAAGCACCTATTTAGAACAAGCTTAGCAAAGCACAGGGACTGCGGTTCAATTCCCCAGCACCACATGCCAGCCAGCCCCGCCCCCTGGTGGGCTGAGCTGGCCACACACACACACACACACACACACACACACAAATTTTAAAAAAATTAAAAAATATTTACTGTATCTAAAAATGGCTGTGTAAAAAAAATAAAATAAAAATGGCTGTGTGATTCAAATGATCAAAAGTCAGGTAACACCAAATCAGACAGGCTTTTCACCTTCCCATAGTTCCGACATGCTGATGTCTACTGTTCACCTCTCGGAGAAATATATTGAATATTTCTTATCAGAAATTCTTTTTGAACAAATCATTGCTAGTCTGAGGGTCACATATTGATAAATAGTATTGTGTGTGTGTGTGTGTGTGTGTGTGTGTGTGTATTTTTGAAACAAGGTCTTGCTATGCAGTTTAGGCTGGATTTGAACTCACATTGTAGCCCAGGCTGGTCTGAAACTCTCAAGGATCCTCCTGTTTCTGTCTCCCAAGTGCTGGGATTACAGGCATATGCCACCACACCCAGCTGATAAATAGCAATTTAGATAACTACATTTTAAATTGTACTGCAGTTTTATACAGTACTAGTGTTCAGTTGCTACTCTGCTGTCTCAGTTACTTTCCTCTTGTTGCTGGGACAAAATACCTGACAGCCAAAATTAAGGAAGGAAAGATTGATTGAGCTGACAGTTGTGGAAGTTTCAGTGCATACTCAGCTGGCTTCAAGACAGAGAGTGGCACATGGAAGAGGGCAGCAGTTCATGGAGGCAGCAAAGGAAAAAGGCAAAAGGGAGTACCAGCAACAGTGACAACAGAGAGCAAGTCTGTCCTACTTAAGTTGCATTCAGGCTATCCGCCCTAGGCTGGGAGTAGTACTCATACCCATAATCCTAGCACTGGATCAGAAATTAACCACAAACTCTAGAAGTCTGCCCCATGACCGCATGAGGCTTTGGGGGGGACAACTAAACACAAATGATAACATATGCACAATACTAGAAAATTAATTAATGCAAAGAAGTGATCAATGTCTAGGCTAATATCTACAAGAAAACTCTGTACCTAAAAGCATGTTTGTTTTTCTGCAGAATAAATTTCAAGGGATGGTCTTTGACTTTGTAACCAGACAAGTTTTTGACATCAGCATCATGATCCTCATCTGCCTCAACATGGTCACTATGATGGTGGAAACAGACGACCAGAGTGAATATGTGACCAATATTCTGTCACGAATCAATCTGGTGTTCATTGTGCTGTTCACGGGAGAGTGTGTGCTGAAGCTCATCTCCCTCCGCCATTATTATTTTACCATTGGCTGGAATATTTTTGATTTTGTGGTCGTCATTCTATCCATTGTAGGTAAGAAATATCTAAAGTCTTGGTGCAGTAAAAATGCAAGTTGAAACAAGCACATTTATAGTAGAGGTCATCCCAACATTCAATCACTGAGAATATATTGATGCATTTCACCTGGGAGTGTTTGTTTTCCTTACAATACCAGTGTCATAATGTATACTAGCATTGTATCTTGTTCTATCCATTTTATATGCTAAACTTATTGTTTATCAGTGTAGTTAAAATCTCCTTCAATTGAAGTGATCTGTTCTATTTAATTAAGGAAAGAATTTTTATGATACTGAGGTTAAAAACCATACAAAATGTCTCAGTAACTGGACGAAAAGAGGACTCGAAATTTAGTTTAGTAATCAGACAAGATGTTTCATTAAAAATATAGAAGCAGCGTCATCAATATGTAGATACCAATGGAAACTGACTGCTAGGTAAGGAAAAATGACATGAAAAGAGAAGAACACCAAAGGGCTAAATGTGAGCAAATGCAGATTGTTCACGGGTATTATACAGAGAATTTCTAGATTACTTTAAAAATAACTTTGTACTCATGAAACACAAGGAATGCAAAATGGACTAGGACATCACTTCTTCAGTCATATACATTGAACACTGGAATATGTAACAGGCCTCACGAACAACAGCTTATCTCATTAGATGATTACAAGTAAAGCTCTAGTGAAGAACTCTTTGTGTGGGGGCCTGAAATGTTGATTTCCTACTAAGGAAAATGGTATGATTGGATTGTTATTTTATTGTCCAGTATGGAGCACCACTGTTGGGCATATTTTCATGCCATTCCCTACTCTGAATAAATTGGCCTTAGCTACAAATTATATGTTGCATGTAATCTTATTCTTGTATTAATCTGGAGTTATAATCCATTTAACTAGGTTAACAAAGTTAAAAGTTATGTTCACCTCTCTCTCTCTCTCTCTCTCTCTCTCTCTCTCTCTCTCTCTCTCTCTCTCTCTCTCTCTCTCAGACACACACACACACACACTGATGTGATTTAGCTTTACTATTTTCAAATGGTCTTTTCATTCAAAGGCATCTCATTTCTTGTGCTACTCTTTAATATAATCTTAAAATGGCAAATGGAGAAAAAGTATATTTTAAAAATAAGGTTTGAGATACCAATGTCAGATACAGGAGACCAAATAGAACCTGGATTCTTTTATAAATGCAACAGAACATACATACTTAAATAGTATAAGAATATTATATAGGACAAGTACAGGGAAGCATTAGATTGATAAATAGAGTGGATTTAAACAATATTTTGGATTTGACAATTTCAGAAAAAGTAATTGTATTATATAAATTTGTGCTTATGCTAAGAAACAATTTAAAATTTTAGAAAATGCAATAGTAGTAATATAAATTTCAATTTACATCAAAAATAACCTTTGTATTTGCCTGGTGGTCAATTATATTCATGCAGACTTTTGTGTTTTTAAATTGTTTTCAAGATTTTGACTTGGGATTCTATGTAACCTAAATATCGTTTAGCAATATCTCTCATAGAAAAAAGGTACTATAATCTTTATACTTGAATTGGTTGCTGAAAGTCAATAGTTGACTTATAAATTTATAT